AAAGAAATCCTTACTGTTAATTTTTACATTTTCAGCCAACCTTTTCTCATACATCCTTTTGTATGTCCTAATTTCCTGTTTCCAACTTGCTTGATTTTCTATAGTCTTCTAAATCTCCTGTCATACCAGTCAATTTATATTTCTTAAATTCATGATGCTCTTCTTTCATTTTATATCTGAAGCTCTTTGTGAGTCACCTGATTTTTTACTTGCAGCTACCCTTTTTTTCTATAATAAATATGTTTACCTTGAATATTTAAAAATTTATCTTAAAAAACTTTTCACATCTGATCAGTGTCTCCAAATAACTCAGCTGCCCAATTTACAACAGATAATTCTTGTCACATCCCTTCAAAATTTGCTTTTTTGAAATTTGTACCCAAAATATCATTATTCTTTCACTCCATATGCAGCAAAACATTGACTCTAATAGACCAATGATCGCTTGCACCCAGATGTTCCACAGTTTCCACCCTCTTGATCATTTCTGTATTTGAAGTTAACAATAAAGCTAAATTGATGAAGAAAGCCATTCCAAAAACCTTTCTCCTTCATGGTTTGACTCTAGCATTTCCCAATCTATATGCCTGAAATTAAAATCACCCATAATTATGACTTCATTAACAGCTTAAATCTTAATCTCATTGTAAAGTTTCTCACTAATTTCATCACTATCATTTGGTGGTCTTTAACAAATTCCCCCTAAAAGCCTTTTTCCTTTATGTCCACCAAGAGAAACCCAAATGGATCCAACCTCCTTGCTATTATCTTTGATATCCTCAATTTCAACAGGATGTAACTCACATTTTACATATATAGCCACTTCCCCCCCCCAATACTATATCCCTATTAAATAGCCTGTAATCCTGTTTTTCTAAAGAAATTTCTGTCGTCAAAATAATCTATGCTTAACCATTTTTCAGTTATTCCCATTATATCAAAATCCTTCATTCCTACCAGTGCTCTAAAGTCATCTGTTTTATTTCTTATACTTCAAGCATTACAATAGTAACAATTAAGCCTATCCTTATAACTAATTCTATACTCATTTCCTATGCTAAACTTTTCTCTATCTCTTATTCTTTTGGCATTTAGTTTTTCCTGGCCCTCACCACTGTCTAATCCTAGTTTAAAACTTCTCTTACAGCTCAATTAATAGACTTAGCAAATAAGCCAGCCCCTAACCTATTTAAATGTAACCCATCCATTCCAAAAAGCTCCCTTCTTC